TGGGCGATCTTTAAGGTCCTTTCCAACCCTGACAATTCTAGGATTCTGTGATTCTATGACCATCTTGCATATTGGTGGAGTGCAAACACACAGCCAGCCCTTGGCGTGCTGTGCTGGACCAGCAGCTTTATGGCCAACAGCAAAGAAGACCATCCCCAGCCACTTTCTGTCCCTTTAGCACAGGGTTGGGTTTGTCTTGGAGGAGGTGCTCCATAACATAACGAAGCCCCCTCTGACCCTCCATTCCCAGCGTGGATGCCGGGGCCCGTTCTGTACGGCAGCGCCATCGACACGACCTGCATCCTCTGGGAGAAGAAGTGCGACAGGAAGGCAGCCTGCAGATACTACGACAATAACCTCTTCAGGCAAAGGTAGGGATGAGGCTTCAGGATAAGGGTTGAGGGTGCAGAGGGAAACCCCGGGGCAAACATGGCATCAGGCCGTGATATAAATTGTGGAATAAAGTGTTATGTATGTCATGGTAAGCAAACAGGGACGCTCGCATCCCACTGGCCCGTGCTATCTCCCAGCAGTGCCCAGGAATGATTTGACAGAAGGCAAAAAGCCTGCCAAAGACCATGCTAACTTGCTGCTGTAGACCACAGAGGTCCACTTCCAGAAGCACTCCCTGCATTACAGGGAGAACGATCATTCAGTGGAACATCTCCCAGGGACATGGTAGAGTCCTCATCACTGCAGGTTTTCAAGGATGCAAAATGCTAAATAATCCTGTCTAGGCTCCCCTTCCCATGAAAGGTTGCACCAGATGATCTTCTGAGGTCTCTTCAAGCCTAGGCTGTTGTGTGGTGCTGTGATTACTTATTTTAGCAGCATAGACACAAGCAGCCTGTCCTGACAACTTCTCCATGGAGGTAATGCAGCAGCAGGGGTGAACGCAGCCTCAAAGCTGCCTGTGAGGTGGCGCAGGGTCCATGCAGGGTGCCTTGCACCCTGGGGTTCGTCTTCCAACAGAACGGTCCAGCTCGACATGCAGAAGACACCAAATCCAGCCCATGCACTGTGGGGAGGCTGGAAGGGAGCTGTAGGTGGTCTTCTACCCTCTTTGCAAATTCACTGTTGTTGAATGACTCACTGACCAGTAGCCACAAGTCCTTCTTAACGGGGGATGTGATCTCTTAATGTAACACCAAAGTGCATCTTGATACCTACTCCTCTTTCTACCACCCTTCTCAGGACCCAGGCTTGCAGCAGTTGCTTGCCCACCACTGAATGTGCCCAAGGAGCCCATGTCCATTTTCAGTGTCTGCTGGGTGCTTGGAGACATTGGGTGTTACTGCTTGGTGAACATAGGAAAGCCCTTGCTGCCCTAATTTATTGTGTTTCCCCCCAACAGGTATCTTGGGCTCCAGTTTTTCTTTGAGGTGGGTGCTTTCCTGTGCTTCCTGACCGTGTATGTGATTCTCAGGCGGCAGGAGAGGGAAGCCAGCAATGCAGCAGAGACAAAGGCAGACCCAGAGAAGGAAAAGCTGGCAGGAAACTCCATAAAGAACCCAGAATCCAAAGTTTGACACCAAAAATGTGAATTGCGATCTGTGTCCGGGGAAGTGAAGATGTGGGAACCACCCCACTCTTGAACTGTGAAGGATGGATGCTCGGAGCGATGGATGATGATGATGCTTCCTGATCATCTGGGTGGGATGTACTACTCCTGTATTGCCATGGGAGTCTGTCCACACGCTGTTCTAGACCTGCCTCCTCCACCTGTGCATCTTGCTCCTTCACTTGGGTTAGTCCACACACCTTAACCTTTGGACACTGCAGTCTTTTGGATTTATGTCCTCCAAAGCATTTGTTCCTCTACAGTCTCGGTGATGCCAGCACTGAGCATTAACCATATAGCTGAGAGGGTTTGTGTTTTGTATTGTTTTGGGTTTTTTTAATAAATCATTTTTAAGAAATGGTTTTGCACTGAACCCATACCTCTCTGGGAATGATGCCCTGCCCTTGCCCCCAAAATGTCAGTTGTGCTTGTTCCTTTTACTCTCGTGGTGTTAGATGGTCTCTCTTCCTTGAAGGCTTCATCCAGCTCCAGCTGACATTGATGGGATATTTGTCCCAGGCTGTGGACCATTGCAAGGATCAACTCATGTGCTTCACCCAGCTGCTGTGTAGATGCTGCCTTGGCAGCAAGGGACAGGGACAAGGATGTTGGGGAGGACAGGACATTGAAAGGAATCACAGGTCCAGCCTAGGAAAGAAACTCCAACACCCACAGACTTGTAGCATTGTGACAGCACATTTTTGCAGCAATAAAATAATACTTATTTTTGCATTATTGGTACTTGTCACAGGAAGTTATTGAAGTGTGTGAGTGTTAAGGCTCCTTCCTGTTTCCCAGTTTGAGAAAGGCAGGACTTTTCCCTGGTTTTCAGAAACAGAAAGGAAGGTTGAACCCAGCCCTCCTGGGCTTGTGGCTAAGCCATTTGACCACAGAGCCAGACAGCCTTGCAGTGCTCCATCAAGGGGTTACTATCAGATGCAGCTGTAATTATGGGGTGAAAGTCAAGTCTGGTGTTATTTTGGAGCAGCTGCCTCTATTTTCTGCATTCTTCCCGCCTTGGGGCTCCTTGCCATCCAAGCACTAATTGTGTTGCTGGTCTCGTACCATCAGTGTACAACCACAGACCATTGGGTAACTTGTAATTTTTGGCTGCAGAATGGAATTCAGTAGAGAAACCCAAACTTCTAAGTTCAGCCCAGATATACAGAAGAGGCAAGAAATACACAGTGGAGAAAATTCATTAACTCCTCATGCCCTGGCAAATAGTCCTGTGGTAAGGTCTGGGGTCTGCAGAGAAGTACAGTGGTGGAGAGTGGAAAGTGACTGGTTTAGATATTTCACCAGCCTATTTATCCAGTCATTTTAAGAGACCCAATAAACACACTTTGGAATGAGAGACTAATTTTATTTTATTTTTTTTAGGCTGAGGCCTTTTTAAAGCACATTTTTGTGCAGTGCCTTTTGTTCATTGAGGAGAAGGTTCAGAGATTCTACAGCCCTATTCACAGGGACCTACACACAGAAATGACTTCTGGCTTAAAAGAAGGTGTTAGAAGACGGACGTGAGAGTGGATGCTGAAGAGACATAGGTGGACCTATTCAAGGAAGGGAGTAGCATATCCAGAGCAGGGCCAGCAGAATGCTCAGAGGGCTGGAGCACCTCTCCTGTGCAGACAGACTGAGAGAGTTGGGGCTGTTCAGTCTGCAGAAAAGAAGGCTCTGAGGAGACCTTATTGTGGCTTCCAGGATCTCAAGGGGGCTACAAGAAAGCTGGGGAGGGGCTTGTTAGGATGTCGGGCAGTGACAGGACTAGAGGGAATGGATTGAAGCCAGAGATGGGTCGGTTCAGATGGGACGTGAGGAAGAAGTTCTTCCCCATGAGGGTGGGGAGACCCTGGCCCAGGTTGCCCAGAGAGGGGGTGGCAGCCCCATCCCTGGGAGTTTTTCAGGCCAGGCTGGATGGGGCTCTGGGCAGCCTGAGCTAGTGGGGGATGTCCCTGCCCGTAGCAGGGGGTTGGAACTGGATGATCTTTAAGGTCCCTTCCAGCCCTGGCAATTCTACGATTCTGTACGCTAACCATGAGCATCAGAAAGCTAAATCAGGGAGGTTTTACACTATTCTCAGTTTTCAAGCTGTGACTAGGTAACATCTGTTTCTAAAACAGACTGGCAGTAGGAAGGAGTAGGACAGGAGCAGGGAAGAGACAGGCCAGTGGTCCCTCCAGCTCTCGACAGCCCGTGAATCTGTGGCATCCTCGCTGCATCTGGTGAAGAAGGTTCTTTTCCAGATAACCACAAGCCCTCTGCTTGCCGGCAGTTTCCCACCTCCTTCCACCCAACCTCACGTCGCTCCAGGTGGAGACTTTCCAAATGGCAACAGCACAATCCGTTTCACGCGGCGTAAAACGCCGAGAGCTGCAGTGTGCTTTGCCAGGAACACCCCTGTCTGGGGGCTGCACCTCCCTACCATTAGGACAGCCGACTTCAAGTGGGGACCAGACCATGCTCGAGCACACCGTGCTCGAGCACCAGAGCAGCACAGTCTGGCTGGGGGCCACCACATGGGTCCAAGTTGTCCCAGGCTCCATATTTTAGTCTTCCAGCACAATCCTTCTGCAAAATTGCTGGTGACCCTTTGCTCATCCTCTGCCTGTGCCACCGGGCTGTTGGGCAGTGATGGGGACAGGCTCAGGGAGTAGCTGTGCTCTGGCACAACAGAGAGTGTGGCACGAGGCTTCTGCTGTTGTAAAGCAAAGGGAGACCTTCAGAGGAACGACCGTGCAGCCTTTCTGGTTGCACAGATTGCACCAGCTGTGTCTTAAACCCCATGATTACCAAATCAGCGGTGCTGCTTATAGAAAAGAGAAGAAAAAGAAAAAGGAAAAAAAAACAGCAAAACAACCCTTAAAAACCAATTTGTCTTGTAAAAGTTCGTTCACAAACAGCACCACGCAAGAGTAAATAGAGAGTTCAATGGCTGCACCGTCCCTCAGCCATCTGACCAGACCTGCTAGGCTCAGGATGGGTACAGAAGCAGCCCATGGGATCGCCCAGCCAGCTCAGTCCCAGCATGGGCTGTTCTCACTGTTGGGCTAGGGATTCTACATCCATTTTCCACTTGGAAAATTCCTATCGCATTACAGAGACATTTTTCTTGGGCGATGCACAAGCCGGTAGAGCCTGAATTCTTCCTTTCCTCCTTATGCCTCCAGCAGAGGAGGGCTCCCTGTGGATAAACATCCAAGGCAATTGCAAACAGTGTGTCTTAGCTATGCGGTCAGCTGTAGGCCTGCCATTACGCTTTTGCTGCAGTAATTTCCATTAATTTGGGCTGGAGTTTCTACAAAGAGAAATAAAACCACTTTTTCTCCTTCCCCTCCCCTGTGCTTTTAAAGAGCACCGTTGAAAGAGACTGACTTGCCAGAGAAGATTAAAAAGAGGCAGTCTGGAAAGGCTAGCTCCCGCTGTCAGTAGGGAGGGAGATAAAACACCAGGGAATATGAAAAGGTTGTCAGGACCAAGGGAGGAGAAGGAGTGTTTGATGGAGAGCAAGGGGCAGGCAGGTAGGAGGCTTGCAAAAAAAACCAAAACAAAACCGAGCAAAGGAAGGTGTAGCATCAGCAAAATCCACCCTCTGCTGTTATGGTTTGCCAGGTTTTCCCCAGAGGAGATGTTCCCGTGGAGATAGCTTAAAATAGATTTTAGAAAGCACTTAAGGATATACCTTAGGCAACAGCCATAAATTGCAGAGAGGTTAACAAGAGTCAATCCAGTAGGGCCATAACTCCATTGACTTTCTTCAGTCTTGCTCTTTTGTTGTCCAGGGAGGCTAAAGGATATAACCTACAGCGAGGTGGGTGTAGGAAGGATGACCAGATCAGGAACTGAACCCACCTGATGTTTCTGTGCAGCACTTTGTAGTGCCAGGGGTTGCAGACCCTAAGATAGAGCAGGTGAAAATTGCACAGGGTCGAAAGGATGAATTACAACAGGAGGGAAGGCTATTTCCCCAGCTACAAGTAGGCTTTGCAAGATGCAGGGAGGTTGGGCAGGCGGCACCGGTCCCAGCAAAGGCAGCGAGCTGGTTAGCAGAGACAGATAGCTCTGCGGGAAAATTTCTTCTCCAAGGCTGGGAGATGTTTTTGCACAGAGTTATCACTTTTGAATCATCCTCTTCGTGTCAGTTCCTTGCAAATTCATCTGGTCTGTGGCATCTTTTCATCATATACTGACAGCCTTTATACACAGGGTATTAATGTGGTCACGGTGGCTGGTCTCCAGTACGATGCAGCCTCCAGTTTAAGCAGCCACTAAATGCAGCTTTGCAGGAGCCCCTCAAGAGCTCAGCTGTCCTGTCTTGAGGGTCAGGATCACAGAAATGTTCTAAGATACCTCTGGAGATCATCTAGTCAGTAAGACCATCACCAAAACTACATGAAGGCAGCTGTGGCTTTGACCTTACCTAGACAAACCTCCAAGGATGAAGATGTCACAGCATCCCCAGTGCCAGGGCTGCACCACCTTTCTGGTGAGAAATGCTTTTCCCAGTGTCCAGCCTGAACAGCCTAAATCGTGTCTTGTGTCTGTCACCCTTTTTTATGCTGTCTGCTGTGGCTGAAGAGAGTTTAGATCCATTCTCTCTCCCCTTCAAGTAGCTGTAGAGTGGTGTTAGATTTTCCTTAGCTTCCTCAACCTCGTCCCACTGACCATGTGCAGGTCATCACCACGACCTCTCCATTTTATCCTTCTTGAACTGGACAGCCCAAAACTTCACTCTATATTCCAGGTGTGGGCTCTCCAGGAGTCCAGATAGGGGATAAAAACATTCCTCAAGTACCTTCTGATGCTGCCCAGCATGTGGTTTACCTTTCTTGTTAAGAGAGGGTTCTGTTGTCCTAAATTCAACTTGGTATGTGGCATAATCCTTTCCAGTGGGTCCCTACTCACCCAGGCAGCTCCCAGTTTGTACTGGTGAGTGGGTTTATTTTGACCCAGGTGCAAAGTCCCTCACACTTCCTGGTGAACTTCCCAGAAGTTTCTGTTGATACAACCATCAGGTTTCTCAAGGTCCCTTTGGACTTGTGCCCACACCTTGTCAGCCTTTTATGGTTGTCTGCGAC